TTCACTGAAAAGGCTTTTTGGTCGTTCTTTATGGAATTTATTTTCACTGATTTTTGATAAGTTGAATGTGAAATATAGGAAAAAAAGTATATTCGCCTGATTTTATTTTTGCGGAATCATTCCTTCAAGCAAAAATAGCGAAAATATATTCCAAGCAAAAATAAAGTATTCTACAGTACACAGCATTATTAAATTAAGTATATATTTCAGTATGGTATCTTGCAGTATTAGTGTACATGTAAATTCCAAATATGAGCATTTTTTAGTGAATTAAACCAGGTTAATACTGTATTCACTCCATTTGTAGTACCGGTACATATATCGAGGGTGTCTCTATGGTCAAATAAATCATACTTTAAATATATATAAAAATATAATAAAATAAAATGAATGCAATTTTTGATGTACATGTTTTTATATTAAAGATGTGAAAATACTTACATTGTACAAGAAATGAATTGACTCAATAGTTTATCTGAAGGTGTGTGCGAGAGGTAAAAATGAGCCTAGAGGACACCCAATTTCAAGATCTAACCAGTAACAAAAGCGTTAGATTAATCAATGTTTGGAAAGCAATATCTGATTTTAATGGCATAGCACCCTTGAATGCAATCAACTAATCGCATTGATGCATCCATGAACTAAAAGCTCTGAGTGTATGTGAAATTGGAGTTGAGGCTATGATTCAGTGCCATCGAATTACATTCACTTTTGTGAGTTTTACTTTTGTCATTTTCTTTTGATACAAGCACATTTTACCCATTGATAGTGTCAAATCCTGCCATGGTATATAACACACAGTTCATAGATGTAATGTTTCTAGAATTGTCATCCCCAATAATCATTTGTGTTGTGTTATCTGCTCCAGTAAGTACTGCATTCTTAATATATAGGTGGCCTACTTGTAAGTTTTCATGGAGTTTTTGTTTCAGATTGCTTATTGATATGTTATAAACTATTTACTTATCACCCAATCTCAAAGTGGTACGTTTATCATGTCATCAGCAGATGTGATTTATTTGTTTGTTTGTTTCCATAGTGATGCTAATTGGTTGCGAAGGTAACAAGTGATGAAATTTTTTCCACTCTTGTCAGCAGGAAGTTTGCGTTTAAAAAACAGCTTCAAATTCCTAAATGATTGCCATAGAACTAATGCGTTTTGTCCTTGATGGGAAATAATTGTTTTTAGGAAAGCTGCTTTAATACATTGAGTATTTTTGTCTGTATTCAGTGTTGTTTCAGGTGTCCAACGTTGGCAAATTTGTGGGTTTGCCAGTTTACAAAGATTTCATTGTTCTTGTTGAAACTTAATTGAAAGCAAAGGTGTGAATTTATACGCAAAGCCCATATTGGTTTTTTTTTGCCAGCTACACAGCCCCTTTTTTTATTTAACTTCACTGTCGAGCAGATCAAATCATTATTGCTCATATTTTGTCATCTGTGTGAACTTTTTACATTTTTAACTTTTTTTTTCTGAAACCACAAGTCTGATTGTTTTGATATTTAGTATATATCTTGTGTGGACCTCTCTCAGACTTATTGAAGACTTCTCAAATGATTTTGATAAATGTTTGTTATTTTTGGTAAAAAGTGATATTTTGAACTTTTTTTTTAAAAACCGCAAGTTTGATTGCTTCGATAGTCTGTGTATATATATATATATATACCGGTATATATATATATATATATATATATATAGTTACCTCAAGTTAACCTCTCTCAGATGTTTGTTAATTTGGTAAAGATATGTAATAGTTTCTAATTTTTGATCAAAGATTATATTCTTTTTCTTAAAAAAAACCACTCCAATTGCCTCATTCCTGCTTATACATGTATACATGTACCTTAAGACTCATCTTCAATTCTGTAAGTTTGTCATTTTTAGGATATTTTCAACTTTTTTCGACTGCTTGTCCAAATACTTTCTACCACATGGTGTTATAAATGTATGATAAGAATTTAAAACAATTCATTTCCAGTAAATATACACATGCAACAGAGGCAATTTCTGAACTGACAAACCAACAATGGTGCTGAAAATTTCTTATTAAATATTGTTACAGTTTGTTGGTTTATCTAATGTAGAAGCTGATAGAAATGTAAACGGGTGATCACAATGTTTACAGACTTACACTACTGTGTTGGCGTGATTTATGGGACAATGCAGTTCCGTTGGTTCACGCAATGCAGTATCCACACTAATTTGTTTTTGAGCTATTCCGTCGCAAATCATGTATCGTGATCGCCGCTTCACGTAATGTGTGGTTAGAATAAATAATGATCTTATTTGATTATTCCATAACGGAATTCTAACACCTGCTTTTACCTGTTTACCGGTTTCATGCCTGAATTTATATGTCGTCCGACAACAAAATAAAGACTCGTTTTATTTCCCAATGGTTTGATGTAGGATTTATGTACATAACAAAAACGTTTCTTTATGGGTGATCTTAATCATTTTTAATTCATTTCCACTTCTAAGATGTTCATTATGTGAATATTAAATTAACTATTTGAATTCACACATTAAAAACCTGCATATATCTCCGGTAATGGGATTTTTTATCTTCATTTTATTCAAATGAATGACAGAAACAATTTGGTCACCATAAAACTTGCTGCGATAATGTTGGTGTAAAAAACATCTATTTTATCTATAATATTGGATCAGATGGTCATAATTTCATATTTGCGACAGAAAAAGAAAGGTGGCGCAAGTTGGCTTTGATGAGCAAAGATATAGTTTACTGAAGAAGTATTCTCATGGAAAAAAAACAACAAAAGTTCATTTTTTTTATAACATTTTCAGTTTTCTTCTAAAAATTAATTTACCGGTACACATACTATTTAACAGTTTTAGAAAAAGTGCAATGTGATAATCTGGTTTTATTATTGATTATACAGCTGAATGCTGTGTAAGACTTTAAAGACATTTGTGCTGGATATAGTAAAAGGAAAAAGTAAAAAATCAAATATTTTGTTATGACATCAAATATTGAGATACTTCTGATGTTAAGTCTGGTGCTGAAAAGGTTAAGAATCAGCTTATATACATACACGCAGTGAAAGCTCCTGATTATTTTAAATTTCATTATATGTTTATTTTTAAATTATTGGTTATTGGTTGTGGGTGCGTGTAGTGGTTTTTAACCTCTAGCATTTTTCATCAGCAGAGGTGCATCAATCAGCATTGACTGATGCTGGAAATGGTGTGGAAATTTTTAATACTGTAAAATGACTAATTTTCACTGGGTTTAAATTTCACTGATTTACCATTTCAGGCATATTCAGTGGGTTTTAAGTTCACGGTTTCGTCATTTAGATAATGTGTTCTATGCTAAATTTTACATATTCACTGGGTTTTAAATTAGCGCATTTTCCAGTCAGCGAAATACTGTAGAATACTTTATTTTCGCTTAGAATTTATTTTCGCTATTTTCGCTGATGGGAGGATTCCGCGAAAATAAAATCCAGCGAAAATATTTTTTTTGCATATATTTCACATTAAACTCATCAAAAATTAGTGAAAATAAATTTCATACAAAACGCTCAAAGTGCCTTTTCAGCGAAAATTAATTCCAGCGAAAATAAACTATTCCACAGTAAGCAAAATTAAAACCCAGTGAATAATTAATCCCTTTACAGTAGATGCTATTCAATAACTTGGGATATAGGTGTACAAACACTGCCACGCAGCTACTCACACACTTACATAGCCTTGGTAAAGTTGTTTACAACATCTCCTCCTATCCTGGATAGTACTGGTAATAGTGTTTGTGTTAAATGTATACTGAGTTAGAATTCTGTACCACTGCTGGTCTGTACCAGGGGGTACATGCACTATAGTCTTTTGTTGTCTTCTTTGTTCAGTCGATAGCATGGGTTAAAGTGAAAATGTAATTTATGATGTAAAAGCTTTATGAAAGACAACAATATCCTTTGGTCTGATAGCTACGAGTTCATCATGTAGTAATATATATGTATATTCACTCTCATATTTCACCATCACTCCAGATCTTTTTGTTCAGAAATTATCAAATATATTGACACACGACAATTGTTGTGTGTGTCACTGATACAAAGGGTTAGTTTAGGGATATGTTGACATATCTTCATTTCCCCCCTAGCTACCATGAGACAATAGCGTAGCCTAGTTACCGGATAAGTGTTCCAATGGTTATCCACTGTCCAGTGAAGACTGGATTTGCTAAGAATTCCATCTCTATGATTATTGGATGTCTGTGATTTGGTTGGCTTAGAGGTCATACAAACTTTGCTATGACATGTCCTAAAACATACTTGGTTCAAAACAAATGTGGTATAAGTTTTATCTATCTATCTCTGGACATAAACATGGTCAAAAAATGCACTCATTATGGCATAACCAAATGTTTTTTATACAAGGCACATGCATGTTAAGATTAGTCCAATGACGATGGTCGTCATGCAGGTTGCATTCAAATTTCATGTAAACAAACAATGTATTTTACATGGGCTATATACAAACAAGCGTCTACCCATGAGCCTTTGCAGTTTTTGAGTGTGTTGTTATCATCGCTTGGGACTCAATTCCTGCGTATTTACTAATATGAGACATATATTCAGACTGAATTACCCTGCACAATTTAGATATTGGGTGTTTCTGTAAGTTAGCTTTAAGCCAGGTAAAAGCTCACTGACCAGCACCAGCGCATAAGTTTTTTTATTAACAGGGATATATACACGTACATGTATATTGAATAACAACAGTGAACAATACTGTTATCATTGAAACAACCTGTACCAACCAGTCACTCGCATACATGTTCGTTCCAGTGAAGTAAATAAATACCATGAGCCTATTAATAATATTAGGAACTGCTTTTTTTGAACATCAATGGATTTTCGAAAATTAGTCTGGACACAAACATGATGAATATACATGCATTAATAGAGACTTATGATGTATACACTTTCACCAATAATAATCGTACCATGTTCATTCATTTATTTATTTACAGACGTGGCATAGCATCACGTGGGGAAAACCATCCGCTACCAGAGAAGGCAGAAGACCCGTTACCATTTCCCTACATAGACACTGTTAATGAAGCCATTTCCAGTTTCATCACACCCACTACCAGTGGGAGATCATCACCCACCTTAGAAAATCACAGCTGGTTGTCGGCGTCGAATGAATGGACAGCTGGTAACTCAACAGATAGAAGAAGTTTGTTCTCTTGGGCTGATGATGTAAGTGAGTCACATGTGGGGGTTTGTCTTGCTCTGTCAATGTTTTGAATTTAGTGCTGAAAACAGGATTTCTCTTATTACATGGCAAAGTATCCCTACTCAGCTATGACAATTTGCTGAAAAGTGGCGCACTTCATAGTACATGTACAAAGAAGTGATTTATGTTTTTTAGTTCGTCACAGCATAGTCCATATTTGCACACAAATTTACATTCTTGATGTATGTTAAAATTGTTTGTGGGACTTGGGCCACTTGTCCAAGTTGTTACTAAATTTACATGCGTTGTGGTTGCTGCTTTTGAAGTAGCTTTTACATACTGCCTCACTATGGCTTAGTACAGAAGTTCATTTGATTAATGTTTGGAGGTACTGTACTGTGTATATTTAGGCTTAATATTGTTATTTCACGCCCTTCAGTCTCAGCTGATACTTGTAAAATTCTAACAATCATATATGTTGACAGTTTTCAAGTTGTACTCTGAGATGATTCAATAAGTTTTATTGGGGGTCTAGGCCTAGGACTATTACCGGTACGTATAAAGTATTTATGAAAATTGCGAGAGATTTTTACTAAATGTTTCCATCATGTTCAAATTTAGGTGACCGTTTTGACTTCCTATTTGATTGTTTATCCGAAATTCATTTGCCAACGATTTTATATAGTGTTGCCTAGACTCACGAACATTCATATCTGGAACACAAATATTACCAGCCATTTGTGCATATTGATACCATAAAATATTTCACATAATAGTCCCAAAATTACAGTAAAACTTAATGAATGATCTCACAGTGCAACTGTAAAATAACCAAAAAACTGCCTATGTTTGGTGGTTGTTGGTATTTTGCGCATAAAACAAATTCAGACTGTATTGCAACATACTACAAATTGTCTACTATAAGCCTTGTATCGACTGTGAAAGTGAAGGCATGGGAAACATACTAGTAACTGAGATTGTTGATGATTTTCCATGTTCTGTACATTTATTTTCTGAATTTGTATAAAAAAAATGAGGAGATTACTACTAAACTGACCAGATTATATAACATTGTCTTTGTGCCAACAGGAATTCGACAGGAGAGCAGCACGTACAGTGCGGCAGATGTTTGAGGAAATTGATAGGATGCTTTTTGAGGCACACAGTACACAAGGCGTCAGTCAGCAATTAATCCAAGAGTGCAAAGATTGGAATACAAGATTTCCCCATTTAAGGTAGGTAAACCTTTCACTCTCAGCTGCTCGTTATTGAAGATAATAGGTTCAGATATCTTCTTTTTTTTTTATGTTAAGTGAATTTACCTATTTTGCCTTTCCTGTAAAGGTCATGTCAGTTCAATGTGTTGTTTCATCATGAAAAAAAGAAGAAGTTGTACATCCAAACCAAACATGAAAATAGTGAGGAATCCTGTGTCTTAAAAATTTTAAAAATGAACTGTGAAATAATTTCTAAAGCTTTATTGGTTTTTTGGGACTGTTAACGTATTGGCTCTATTAGTAGCTCATGTGCTTATGTAAATGAGGTTTGTCTGTGGTCAAAATAATTCATATTTCAATGGTTCAGTGTATAGTACAAATGTAAATGTAATTGCTGTTTACATGTGCTTCAATTACCGTATGTTAATTATTTGGTGATTTAAATTGTGGGAATTTTGTAGTAAACATTCAAAATTCAAGAATTTTCAATGCATCTGAAGGTTGGTGGTTGTTTCAGCTTCCTGGCTAGTTTTAATTTCATCTGCTTTTGATTAGTGATATGAAACATTGATTCACTGAAATTTGCGACAGTTGTGGATTACTTTTAATAGAGTATTCCATAAAAAGACTGAATCATCAAATATTCTTTGCAATTCTTACAGTTTCCTTCTTTTAAATATTTAATTTATAAGTAATCTCAGAGAGCACTGAAAATAATATCAATTTTTAGATAACTCGTGACATCATCAAGTACCTTGTAAGACATTATATATACTGTAAAAAATCACATTTGTTGTATACTGAATAATTATAATTAATTATTACTCATTAAGTGCTTGTGTTAATAAGTATAAAAAATACGGTATCAGTTTTTTTTTACTCTATTTCACTGAATACAATTTTGAAATCTTGAAAAAATTCCGTCTACTCAGTCTCCTTAACGAGAATTGTAAATGTGGCTGATAATATCAATAAATTACTGTCTGAATACATTTTAATAAATCACTGCTCTCGTTATAAGGCAAAGTATTCATGCAATATGATGAATCTCAAACTAGGAGCAGGTGGTTTTAGAGATAAAATAAGATGACATCACGGTGGTATTTAAGCGACCTCAGTTTTGATTCATGTTGTTGTCATACTCAGGATATCATAATCTGGAATCTGTGATTCTTCACAACGATAGCCACTGTTAAATCAAAACTCTCTCCCTCTCTCCCCATTTCCTGCTACATGTACCTCTGTGAAATTACAAAATCTTTTCCACATAAGGTTAATGCAGTACTTTGCTGCTGCTGTCGTCTCATTCATACCTTTGGTGTGGTATTTAGTCCGTTAAGTTTTGTCCTGTTTCCATGAAAGTTTTTGTGATTTTGGATCAAATATATTTTAATTTTCCGGTATCATCAAAAATCCAAATGTTATGATCAGCAGTTAGTAGCCTTGTCAAGTTTCTTTTTTTAGCTCCGCTGTCGACTTTGTCGAGCGGAGCTTATCATATGAGTGATTGTCCGTCGTCGTCCGTCGTCGTCGTCCGTCGTCGTCCGTCGTCCGTGTCAATGTTTTACTTTTTCGACTTCTTCTTGAAAACTACAAGCCTGAATGCTTTGATACTTGGTGTATATGTACCTTGGGTAGACCTCTCTCAGATTTGTTCATTTCATGATGGTATCTTCAATTCTCTAATTTTGGTGAATATTTTTGTCATTTTTAGTAAAAAGTGATATTTTCAACTTCTTGTTGAAAACCGCAAGTGCAATTGCTTTGATATTACATATATAGGTACTACATGTGGACCTCTCTCAGATTTGTTCATTTTGTAATGATGTCTTTAATTCTCTAATTTTGGTGAATATTTTTATCATTTTTGGTAAAAAGTGATATTTTCGACTTCTTGTTGAAAACCGCAAGTCCAATTGCTTTGATATTACATATATAAGTACTACATGTCGACCTCTCTCAGATTTGTTCATTTTGTAATGATATCTTCAATTCTCTAATTTTGGTGAATATTTTTGTTATTTTTGGTAAAAAGTGATATTTTCGACTTCTTGTTGAAAACCGCAAGTCCAATTGCTTTGATATTACATATATAGGTACTACATGTGGACC